AGGGCGCTCATCCTTCTCAATATTGAATTCAAAACTAACCGACTTCGACATTGGTGATGGAAACAGAGGAGATCTCCGAAACACTGTTTTTTTAAACTCAACGCTTATACGGCTGATGGCCCGACAACATTTTAATGCAATTATTCGTCATGAGAACTTCAAATCTTACACATAAGCATAATAATGTGTATTCTTCACCAGATATACTTATGCTCATCATGTCCGGAAGTTCATGGGTAGTAAAATTTCAATGTTTACTGCCTGCAGTGCACTAGCTTTCGTATGTAAGTTAAGAGGTTAAATTGGCTTGTATTTCTTTGATTCCTTTATAAAATTTATTCAGATACGCGTAAAAATTGTTCTGATATGGGCTACACACAATTATACTCTTAGGTATTAAGAAGGAGCTTATTAAAGATATGGCACGTGAAAAAAATGATTCTTTTGTTTTATTACATGGAGTTTATTGTAAGAAAATGTGAGAAAAAGGGGTAACTTGGCTAGTAAAGAGATAAATATTACGAGGAAGAGTCAGTAAGTAGGACACAAATGGATATAAAACGTAAAACACGCGATATTTAAACCTGGAAATAATCGTTCATTTCTCTCCACATCCTCCACCAACATTGATACACTTGTCCCATCGCTTTAACAATGCGTCCAAAACCGCAACGCTGAAGTCTTTTGACTGCTGTCTCAGCAACATCCGAATCCCCCCTTCCAATATCTTCGTCATCAACGAAATATTTACGATCCGGTTGTGAACCGCTTTACGGGAAAAACGCTTCCCACCGTAAACGGGAAACGTTTCTTTATGGATATCTTTTTTCACTGAATCTTTTGCCCATAAAAGACACGTAAGAGGACGCTGCTCTTCCGTAGTACACCATCAAGCAGGGTCGCCATTTTGACTACTGAAACCAGCCTCTGAACATGAACACGTGTTTCTGTTACCTGGTACGTCATGAAACTAAACTGTGCTGCTACCTAGTAACACATATAGAAACTCTATTACATCCATTACAGCTGTTTGCTTTCATTTGCGTCCTATTTACTGACTCTCCCTCGTACCAAATCACACAGAATATATGCTGAAGTATTGTAAGGCATATGAATGTAGGAAATACGAAGAAATGGGAATCTCTACGGTTTACGTTTATAGAAAGTCAATTGTTCCCGGAAGCTGTATTTCAGACTCAACATGCTGTTTCGTATGAGAAACGGACACTGGCTTGCAAATATCCCCNCATTAATACACCTTGATCTGTTATTTCCAGACAAGTATGAATTTATTTATTTGGTGTAACATAATTAATAAAATTTTGGCCTCGTCATGGACCCAAATACATTTTATTCATAAATGTTCAATTTATTTAATGAAAATGAAAGATACTAATAAATAGTGTATGAATTTTTTGATTCTTTAAAGATCCTACTTCAACTACAGTACTTTATTAAGTAGATGGTGCAAAATTTGTTTTGAGAATCTGTTTGCTTAGCTAGGCACGAAATTTCCGTCCAATTATAAAACTCACCACTAATAGTCTGTTGAATCCAGTCAACATAAACACAACAAACTTCTCTAACATTCATTTTAATATTATCTTCCCAATTAAGCCTAGGTCTTCCAAGTTATCCCTTTCCCTCCGTTCTCCCAATAAAAATTCTGCGTATATTCATCTTTCCCATGGGCGTTCCATGTCACACCCTTATCTTCTTCCTTGATATAATCAGAAAAATATTTTGCGCAGAGCACAAATCACAAATCTCCCGACGGCTGTAACATAGACAGGCAAAGCTGTCACTGTGCTTAGCTAATTAAACACTACGCCATGAACGTGTATGGGGGAGCGCATGTATAGATCCACATTTTCTTGACCTCGACACTAGCTGTAGATGAGTGGTCAGCTTCACGCCCCTGTCGATTTATCCCCGGGGAAAAAGTCCCCGGTACTCATTGGGTGGGAGGCTGTGTGGGCCCCAGAGCCTGTCTGGACGACGTGGAGGAGAGAAAAACTCCAAACCCTCGGTCGTCCAGCACCTAGAACATTCTCACTAGCATGTCCACAACTTAAAGCTTATGCTCATGCAACAGATAACAGTCCGTCCACCTGCGTTGTTCCTTCATGGGTGTTCACCTCTTTTTGCATATTTCAACTTCAAATAGTTCCACAATTTGTTGCAGTCACCGTACAATGTTTTATCTTCCTTAACGCTATTACAGAACATGTAACTTGAGCTTAAAATATTATTTACCACACCTACAATTTACCATTAATTCTTCCTCGCCTTTCAAGAATTAGATCAGAGGTCGTTGGCCCTTTCTTGGGCGATGGACAACAAGGAAAAGTTTAGGCCCATAATTTATAACGGAATCTGTGAAGTAAATGTAGGAATTGAAATAACTTGTTTACGAATTGCTTTGAAACTTGTGTTCTCACATGACCATTTTCCAAATCATTGTTTAATAGATATACGTAAGGAATACTAATTAATTTTCTTAAACAATGTCACTTTTATTTATGCCTCAGCGCTTAAATTAATGTAACATATAAAAACAATTCGAACGTTTAGATTATCTTGATATTTTCATAGAGATTCGCCCATAAAGTGGTTCGCGAACTTATGCGAAGAATTAAGAAACTCTTACGAAAATGTTAGCAATTTCGCGGCCACCAAATACACTTCCAACGGTATCAAGGTTCTCGTGTGCATAAACCATCAGTGAGTTATGCTCTATGGTTTGTTACTGTTCAGAATTAATTATGAAAAGCGCCATCACATAGCAAAATCAGGCTCGCGGAAGAACTAACTCCATGGAACTGAGTACTGCTTGAGAAGTTGCCAGTCATTCAACTACTCATCAGTTTCCCAATATTTTATAGAACCCGAAGGTTCATAACCTTTTTCACAAGACCTCTCCACTGGTCCCTATCCTATGCCAGATCAAACCAGTTCATAGCACCCCATCATATCTCTCTAAGATTTATTTTAATATTATCCACATACCTATGTTTAGCTATATCTAGTGGTCTCTTTATTTATGGCTTTCCCATCACATCCTACATGCATTTCCCTTCTTCGCATGCGTGCTACATGCCCTGTACTTCTCATCTCCCTTGACATGATCACTTTAATTATACTTTGGAAAGAGCACAACTTATGAAGCTCCTCATTATGTAGTTTTCTCCACCCTCCTACCATTTCATTCTTCTTAGGCCCAAATATCCTCCTCAGCACCCGGTTCTCAAATATCCTCAAGTCTATGTTCTTCCCTTGTTGTCATGCTTCACACCCATATAAAATTACGGTCAAAATTATGGTTTCGTGCATTTAATATTTTCACTTTTAGACAAGAGTATAGAAGATACAAGGGTCTGAAATGAACGCAGAACTCCTATAATTATAAAATAACCGTGCTCCAATAAAATACTGAGTAAGACTTTGTTTCTTTTTTTTGTTGCACTCACTGTGAGATTTTTGGGCAGTGCAGCTATGAAGCAAGTTACACGTTACTGTTCAGTCCTGCCTTATGGGAGAACGCCCCACACCTCCACCTGAGAGCGCCATCAGACATGGCAGAATAATTGTATTATCATAAATCTAGCAATCACGTGTAATTTCTTCTCAGATTTAAATGTGTTGTGCAAAGTGAAAAACAATGTTTAGTGTGGAGATCATATCTCACTGTCCGGCTGCCTGTGCTCTAGTAGCAGAGCTTAAACCTTGGAAAAAATTTCTTGAAATTCGGTATTGAAATATTCATTAGAAATTCTTGAACATTTCTAATTTTCAACCATATGGATCTACAATAATTCTTGGTTTACGTAAGGTCATTGATGGACCTTCACATGTGCCCCATAAAGATTTCCACAGGTATTTTTAAAACTTGATATGAAAAAATTCCACCACAAGTTGCCCAGCAGTTTATATTTCAATCCATCCGTTACATAAAAAGAACTAGTTTGCTTAAAGCGGCAAATGGAATTTTCCTACAAAGACTTCTACAGATCTTGAAGAAATGTGATATGAAAAACTTTCACTAATTTGCATTTCAATATTCCTATTTATAAGCTAACTTCATAAATTTTCAAGAATGCAGCTGGTAATACTGTGTACTGCACTATGTAGTGCGTCTTCTCATTCTTTAGAAATTTAATAGGGCTACTTGGGCAAGGAATGTGAACAACACGCAGCTTCTACCTACAAGGAACAAACATGCGTGTCTGTGATTGCATTCAAAGCCGAAACCCAAGACCACTCGCGTCACGAATGCTGTCATTTTAAATTTAATACAATCGTTGTTTCTTGAACAAATATTATAACTAGCTCTTGTTAATTTTAGTGGGCAGTGCAACGGCTGTGACCAACATAACAGTGCCATCAAGGGCTGTTAACTTACAAAACTCACCCGTTAAAGAATTTAAGTATGCTACTTGAGAAATTTTATTTTCTGAGAAGATACCTTTAGAAGACAAATTTGACGAAGTTAAAAATATTTACGGCTATATGAGAAGTGAAAACTGAGTTGCGTGTTTGTGCGACAAAAATATTTTGGGCGGTTAGAATTTATAATTTAGGTTTCTGGAGGACTGGAGTACCAAACACCAGCTATGATAACTGAGATTATTTTCATGGGTTTCCTCAGTTTAGCCAGGAAATTCTGGAGTAAGCAAAGTTGCACGCATTCCTTCTCCAGCCTTTGCAATAATAAAAAACCATATAATTGATAAAACAGCGTTAAATAAACAACGAAAATGAAACGGCTTTTAAAGTACTCTCTTAAATGCCTTCCGAATGAAGAATTTCAGGTCCACCGCCTATTCAGAGGAAAGTCGAATCATGAAGCCTGTATTACATAATTAATCCATTTCCACAACAACGATAAAACGTAAAAAAAAGAACACGTTAGAAGTATCAGTTTTGTCGCAATTAAGACACGTGACAAGTGTCCAGTAGGTGTGTCTTTTGCGCTGTAGAGACAGAGGTTATCCACTTACCTTGCAAGGTCATCACCAGCAAAACCAGCACTTACACACTCATGTAATAGTATGTACTCAAAGTAACGATTTTAAACACCACAGCACTTTTCAGGCACTGAACCGAAGGCTTTCGGGAGTAACGTCGCGTGAATAGCACTCAGGATCACTGACCACTGGCACTTGTTCTTGGCCTTCAAGTTGTAGAACGCAAGAAGCACTGGCCGGCTGACGGAGAACTTCTAAGTACCCACATCAGAGCCACTGGGCAGAGCGAATGCTTACAGTTGGGGTAGCAGCAGTCACAACTACTACCTGATCCGTGACGTCACAGATCCCGCAAGCCATATGTGTGCGGACGTGTACGCAAATAATACGAATTTAAAAAAAGTGTATTGGCTTAACGTTCATTTCTCAATTAGCAATTTTTGCACTTCGGTCATTAGGCTACTGGTAAAGTTTTGTGTTATAACATTTTAGAAATCTGTCTTGTGTGTCCGTTAGAGGTCAAGAGGAGACGCGCCGTAAAATGGTTAAAGAAGTGTGCGTCTGCCGAGACTGTTCCACTGTGTCTTAAAATGAAGACACGTTTAGTCTCCCTGCCCCACTTGTAGTCAGTGAATTATTTGTCATTCTTCCTTCCTTTTCCTTATTTTCCCTCATCTTCCTTTTGAGATTCCGTATTTTTCTTGCATCTCAACTACCAATCCAATACTTTTAAATTCCCCTCATCCATGCTTGTGGATAAACACAAGTATCTGGAATGAAGAAGATTGCATAATTTGCATTCTTCAACAAATATTATTAAGATTATTTAGTTAATAAGAGTGAGGTGGTTTCACGAATACAGGAAGTGTTTACATCCGGTGATCTCTTCCCTGTGTTTTCTTCTGAATGTTAGGCGATCATAACGCTAAAGCTATTTACTTCATCCTCTGTTCTGTTGTTTCTGAACACTTTAATGCATCAAGCACTCAATACCACATATAAAAGAGAATGGAATTTTGATCAACGATCAATAGTAAATAAAAATAATTATATCAGTGTAGCTTAAATGCACTTCCCGTTATTTTTATTGTCCAACAGAAATGTGGCCATATCATCCTAAGATTTAGGCAACCTCCTCCTTTTTCACGAGGAATATATATGTAAAGCTGTCCATGTGCTTGATTGATTAAGCACTATACTATAAGGAGGTATGGCGCTGTGGAGGTAGAGCTCCACCATTTTTGACTTCAACACTGGATGGAGATGAGTGGTCAGCTTCACGCCCCTGGTCGCATTAATCCCGGGGAAACAGCCCCAGGTATCAGTGGATAGGAAGCTGGGTGGTTCCCAGAGCTGGACTGGACTCCGTGGAGAAGAGAAATATATTGATTTTGTCAGGAATCGAACTACGGCCATCTAACCCGTAGCCTGTCGTTTTTCATAATTTGTATGTTTCGTCACCTACTACTAAGGCTGTTTATTCAAGGAGATGAGATGGTATTAGGAAAGCAGGAAGTATTTTCATTCAGTGATCTTCCCAGTTTATTCCTTTTGATTGCTAGGCGATCACAAGCCAGTTTCATAGCACAAAAAGTTATTTAATTCAACCTCTGTGTCGTTGAATCCAAACAGTTCAATGCATTAAGCAATCACCACCATAGATGAAAGAAAAGGTAAAGGTAAAGGTAGAAAAGCCGGTCACGGTAGCCGAGCGGTCTAAGGCATGTACTGTTTTCGCTCGCTTGGAAACCGGGATCGTGGGTTCGAATCCCACACAGGGCATGGATGTTTAGTTTGTGTGTGTGCGTTTTTCTGTGTTTGTGTACAGGTGGAGGCCTTGCGACGAGCTGATCACCCGCCAAAGGAGTCCTACCGAAATGAACGGAGAAGTTGATGGAGGTAGGCCTAGGCCAACTGGGGCTGTAGTTCCAAGGGAAAAAAAAATGTAGAAAAGGTAAGGCTATCCCTGTAAGAGACCATGAAGGCCCATAGGGTTGTGAGACATTGAGGGTCCCACATTATCTAGACAATCAGCTCACAGATGGCGGTAAGGTGGCCAGCCTTAAGCGCTGGCAGCCCTTTACCCTCCCTCCTGGAAGATTCCTGATACTCATTTCTGTTAGAGACTCAGTCGACCCCAGGGCCTAGTGCAGCTGGAAGGTTTAGGTAAATTGAAAAAAATTCACCCCATCGGGACTCGAACCCGCGACCTTCCGGCTTGTAGCATAGTGCCTCAAGCAACTACGCTACCGCGTGCCCCGCTTATAAAATGTGATTAACAGCTCCTGATATGCTTGTGCATAAAACTTCAATTCAAGGCCTTAAGTAGGTTTTTTTTTTCGTGGACGAATATAACTGAAAATCGGAAGTTAACGACAGCATTTAGTTTAGAGACAGATGGACAGACTTGATCTCCACGCGAGTTGTTCTTCTGCTTAGTAGGAAGCCCTTGAAAAGGATTTACTTTCGCCTCGAATAGCAATAGGCAGCACTCCTATTAGTTTCTTGATATGGAACATTCGTTAAATGCAAATGCGAGGCAGGGGTCCAGCACGCAGCTGTGGGTATTACAGACATAATTTATTCAAAAGCTAAATTACATGTAAACAGACTGCAGTAAAAATGCTCTGCCAGGAACCCCCCCCCTGGCTCAATTGCGTCTCCCGATACAAAATTTACATCGACAGCAGCTTCTGTTGAACGTTCTCGGTATTCATTTCAGTCTCATAATGGGAGAACCGCTGCTTCCTCCCTCTGCAGAAATAAACGGCTAGAGCAAATATCAGTAGCCTAAACAAGACACTTGTGAATGAAGATTATATATATTTTTTTCAATTCGCTTAGTGGGGGGTGGAGTCCAACTGGGTCCACTCGGCACGGCGGCCACTGATTGACCTATTGTAACCTGCCCCGGGTGATTATGGTGATGGAGAATTTGCTGGAATGAAGATTGGCAGGGGAAACCGAAGTACTCGGAGAAAACCCGCCCCAGCGCCACTTTATCTACCACAAATCCCACTTGACCAGGCTCGGGCTCGAACCCGGGCAGCCGCGGTGGGAAGCTAGCGACTAACCGCTTGAGCTATGGAGCGGCCTAAGATTATATTAATTTGCTGTGGAAGAACAAAAAAAAATCGCTCACAGGCCAGTAAAGAGTTTGGTCTTGAAGTAAATATAGATACAATTAAGTATTACTTCATTCATCAATAGCACTACAGCCATTTGTTGGGCCCTGGTCAATTCTTTAGGTTCGTAATCTTTTAGGCAGTCAGCAGGACCCCTTTGATGGGGGATCAGCCCGTCGAAAGGCCGCTACGTACACACAGAACAGCATAAACGCAGAAAAAACGCACTCAGGCATCCATGTCTTCAGTGGGATTCGAACCCAAGATCCGAGTGTTTGAGCGGACGAAGACAGTTCATACCTTAGACCGTGCGGCCGTTGTGATCGGAGATACAATTAAGTACAGTATCATGAAACGAAACTATAATTAGCGAGAAACTAATGTAAAAAATAAAGAATTAGAAAATGTTAAAAAAATTTGGTATTTATGAAAACATAAGAGCTGTAGCACGGTTGAACTTGAAGGTCCGGTGAACAAACAGCTGTTTTAAACTGAAACGCAAATTTTAAACAAATAAACCGAATTTTTAGGCGCCAGCGGTGAGAACAGGTAAACTAACATGTATACAATCTTTTGAGCTCAGAATATGTCACTTAACACAATTACGGAGATCGGTTACTTTTTGTTGTCACAGTACGGTTCCCACAGTTTGACGAATACGGGCAAATAAACACGTGTACCGCGGGACTACTGGACCGAGTGGGCTCAGTGTAGCGACCGTAGCGACTGACTGCAGGCTGGACGACTGGGCCCAGCTGCTCTGCAGAAGTATGGAGTTCTTTCCTTCGCCACTGCGTCCAGACTGGTTCCGGGCATCGCCCAGTCTCCCGGATAATGTGTTCCGGAAGCACTTTTCCCGGAAATAAAGCTGCAGAAGAGTAAAACTAACCTTCCACTACGTAATACCAGGTTAAGAATTCTTGTGACGTTGCCTCAGCTGTCCCATGCTTCTTCATTACGTGGTGCTGAAGCAATGGGGGAAATTTAATTCTATATTTTTCTTCAGTAGCTGATCACAGGGGCCGCGTGGTCTCAGTCATAAAATGTCTATGCTCTCTCGTACGCTGGGATCTTGGGTTCGAATCCCACTCAAGGCATAGGTGTCTGTGTGTTTTTTCCTGTGGGCAGGTAGCGACCTTCCGACGGGCTCATCCCCCGTCAAAGGAGTCCTAACGACTCTCTTAGAATTAAGAACCTGAGAAAGCGGCGTAAGTAAAACAAAAGGAATGTAGAGACATAGATAGATAGATAGATAGATAGATAGATAGATAG